CTTTGTGCCGCAACCGATCGGCCCCAGTGCCCCCTTAAACGGCCAAGCCCCGCCTGCGTCGCCCCAGGGGAGCCCCTGAGAGCCCCCGCCCCCGCTCCCGCGCCGCAGCCGGGGCCCGCCGCCAGCTGCCGCCCGGTAGGCGTCCCAGGCGGCGGCCCAGGATGGGCGGCTGCGCCCCAGCTCCGTGGATCGCCCCATCTTATGATCCCCTCAGCAGGCTCACTTGAGATCCTCAAGCAAGTCCTGATCCAATGCATAGAGCTCCTCAACCTGAGGCAAGTTTGGATGAGGCAGCGAGGTCCGCGAAGGACAGGGCATGCAAGGAAGTACGGGTTGGCAAGGCGCAAGGCGTATGCGTACGCAGCCGGCTGGGGGGCCGCGCGCGGCGGGGGCGCGAGCGGTCAGCGACGCCCGGGGCGCGCGGCCGTGTGCGTGTGCATGAGGGGCCGAGGCGGCGCGCGCGGGGCGCAGCGGCGCGCCTCCCTCCCCCCACCCCCCGCGTGAGCGTGGGGGGGTGCCGAGCTCGCATGCAGCCGCAGCGCCGCACCTGCACGCCCTTGACGCCGATCTGCTGGATCAGCTCTGTGAAGACCCCCGGATCGCTTTCGATTGTCGTCCATGTCTCGTTCTTGCCCGCCATCGCAGCAGGTGCGCGTGCGCTGCGACGCGCTTGCTTGCGCTGCCGCTGCTGCTGAAAGCGACGTCACCACGGCCGCCGATGCGATGTATTCAGTTAGTGTATCTATAGAACTAAAAGACTTCCTCAAAGGCTAGCTTCTACACAAGCTTCACGCGAGAGATCCGATGAGTTCTCAGATCAAGCCACCCGCCGCGACGTGCAATGACTGCATGCAGCGCGGAATGAGGATCTGTGGACGGAAGCATGCAACGTGTCAAGATCGCCATGCGAGCTGCACTGCTCTTCGCCGCACATGGCGCGCAGCTGCTCGTGCTGGGGTGCACCGGCCGACATGTGCGCAACACATTATTGCGCCCTGCGGCAGCGGCTGGGGCCCAGATGCACCCGTAGGATGAGGAACTCCGGTTATGTTACATGCGCTATGGTATGCGATACGTGGCTGGTGGCCCCAAGCGGCCCCGGCACGGACACATGGGACTGAGGGACCCCACTCGTCAGCACTGCACTGGCGTGATGTGCTGTTGACGACACGGCTCAGCAGGCACTCAATTGAGCATGACTGTGGAAAAGCGAAAGTACTGCTAGGCCAGCTGCGGAAGCATGCAGCGGCAGGGCGCATGAAAAATCTATGACTGTCTTTCCACTCGCCATGCGGTGCCCAGAATGCAGCAGCAGCAGCACACGTCGTCATCAGCAGATCAAGAGCACGGGCAGTCTCATGGCATGTAGGGTTTCACCGTGGTAATGGGCGGCAAATAATGAATGAGCAGTGCTTGGTCAGCAGCACTTTGATGAATATGACCGAAAGGTGCTGCATGACAGTGCGCACTGACAGCCAAGGCCTGGCAAAGCACCGCCCAATGAGGGAAATGCCGGCCACCCAAGGCACCAGCAAGGGTAGGGGTTTGAGGAAAGAACTCAATGGGCCGCCGCCTAATCACTATGCCAGCACCACGACCCCGTCGCCCGCCCGGAGGGTGAAGCCCCCGCCCGGCCGCGCGCCCAGCGCCGGCGCCAGCTCGCAGCGGCCATCGGCGGAGACGATCCCGACCAAGGTGGCGCCGCGCAGCCGGGCGGCCTCGGACAGCTCGAAGATGCTCATGCGCTCGCCTGCGCGCGTACGAGGTTGGATGTTAGGTGTGAGATGTGTATGTGTATGAGTGTGTGTGTGTGTGTGTGTGTGTGTGTGTGTGTGTTCAAGGAATCCAAGGCGTTGTGAACAAAGCACGGGCAAGCACCGTCCATGCTGAATGGCCTGTGTCCTTTCCCAAGCCGGGAAACGGCCGCCGCATCGCCACCCATGCCCCCACCTTGCTCCGCGCCGAGCGCCGCCGGCGGCAGCACGCGCAGCACGCAGCCGCCGGCGCCGCGCAGGAGCGCGTGCACTACGCGCGAGTACTCCCGATCCTGCGCCGCCTGCGCAAGCAGCGAGGCGAGCGCCTCGTCGGGTGCAACGAAATCGAGGGACTCGCCCCCGAGCAGCGCCCCCGCCGCCCCGGCGCCACCCGCGGCGGTGCCGCCCGGCGCCGCGGCAGCGGCGGCATGCTGCTTGAGCGCGCCGAAGAAGCCGGCGCCGAGCTCTGGCGTCCGGAGGGGGAGGGAGGGCAAGGTGGCGGCGTCGGCGGCGGGGTGGGGCGGCAAACGCAGGACGACGGGTCAGCACCCCAGGCACACCTCACGGGGTGCTGCCGCCAATCTTGCAGCCACCGCGGTGCCTCGAATTCACATGCAAACCACGCCGCGTCGCGGCGGCGCCCGGCTCCCGCCCGCCCCCGCCCGCGCCCACCTGCTGTTGTGATGCTCGCGACCGTCGTCACGACCCGCGGCGGCGCCGGCCGGCCGCAGGCCAGGAGAGCGTCCTGCAGCTGCAGCAGCGACGAGAGCACATGAGCGTCCCGCGCCAGCGGCGGCTGCGGGTCCAGGAACGCGTCGGCGGGAAGCTGCCCGGCAGCTGCCCCGAAGCCGGCGCCGGCAGCGGCCTGCTGCATCGCAGCGGGGGAGGGCGGCGGGCCGCCGGTGTAGCCGCGCTGCTGCTGCCAAGAGGAGGAGGACTGCTGCTGTTGTGTTGAAGGGGAGGTGCTGCGCGCCTGCGAGGAAGAGGCAGACGAGGAGGCAGATCTCTGCTGCTGCGGCGACCCGGGCTGCCGCTGCCGCGGGGACTGCGGCGGCGCCGAGGGTTGCCACGGCGGCAACTGCTGCTGCGGGTCTGCCGGCGGCGGGGGCGCCGGCAAAGGGTGGGGGTGGTGATGATTTGGGTAGTATTGGTGGTGTCCGGGGTGGTGGAAGTGGTGCGGCAGGTGCGCGTGGTGCGGCTCTGGGGGCAGCAGCACGACCGTGTCGCAAGTCGAGACACCCGCCGCCGCGAGCGCGCCGGCGTCGAGCGGGCGCGCCCCGTGGATGTACCGCAGAACTCCGGCGGGCGCCGCGGCGGTGGCGCCGGCGCCGGCGCCGGCATCGGCGCCGCGGAGCCAAGACCACGGCGCCCACCAACGCCATCGGGGCACCGGGGCGCCGGCCGCGGCGACGACGGGCGGCCTCTGCGGCGGCTGCTGGCCGCCCGCGCCCTCGAGGCGCCACGCGCCCCAGGCGTCGTTCGTGGAGGGCAGCAGCGCCGCCGTCGGGGGTGGCGGCTCCGCAGAGAGGATGGTCACCTGCATGGGGCCGCCACCAGGCGGGCCCGGTGAGTAGCTGGCGATCCCTTCGAGCAGCTGCGGCAGATCTGCGGCCGGCCAGCCGACGATCAGGATCTCCCTCAACCCCTGCCTGCCTGAGATCTCTTTGGGCGACGCCGAGCCGCCGCCGCCGTCGCCGGCCGCCCGGCCCGCGCCCCACCACCCCGTCCCC